CTCGCTTGAGCCCAGGAGTTGGAGGTTGCTGTGAGCTGTGATGCCATGGCACTCCACCCAGGGGGATAGCTTGAGGCTCCGTCTCAAAAAAAAAAAAAGAAAGAAAAGAACTGAAAAGAGCAGGATTTGGGTTATGCCTAGGGCCATTGTCCTGACCAGGAGCTGTACCCAGCATGGGTGGCCAAGGGCTCGGAAGAGAAGGTCAGCAGCTGTGTGATCTTGAGTGTTCTCCAGGCCCCTCCAGCCCAGCTCTACACCCAAACTCAGGCCACCAGAGACCAGGAACTGGGGACTGGACATTGGGCAGCTTCTTGGCAGCCCTGAGTCTGAAGCAGGAAGGGCCCTGGGTAGGGGAAGTGAGGTAGAGAGACAGCTGGAGTGGTCAGTGACAGCACAGGCAGCCTCCAGGGCATTAAGGACTACCACATCTTCAGAGGATTGACACTCACCTCGAACTTTGAAGAAGAGTGAGGTGTTGGCTGATCCAAGAACATTTGTAGCTTCACAGCGATAGTTGCCAGAGTCCCCAAGGCTTAGTTCCCGGACCTCTACCTGCAGGGAGTTGGCCACAGCCTTGGTCTGGAGACGGCTGTGAGATGGGAGCTGGGGGCCCAGGCTGGTGGCCAGGAGGTGCTCCCCATGGAACAGGGACAGCTGGGCCAGGGGGCGACTGTCCACGGTGCAGACAAACACAACCATGTGGCCCTGGTCCACGTCTAGGAGGGCTGACAGCTTTGGAGGATCTGGAGGATCTGCAGGAACAGGAGGATCTCAGGCCATTCCTGCCCACATTCCAGCTGCCATACTGTGTCCCTCTCTCCCTGCCTACCCTGGCCCACTCCCAGCCCATGCTCTTGTCCTCCCCCCACTTCCCGGCCACTCCTCCACCCTCCAAGTTCCCAGGCTGCCCTTGCCAGTCACACACAGAGTACACGCAGGATGACAGGAGCAGAAAGCTGGGCACCAGGCTCAGAGAGCACTTGGCAGGCATAGAGGGCAGCATCGGTTCTGGCCACAGGTAGCAGCCTCACAGTCTCCAGGGGACCTTGGGCCCACAGCACCCCATTTCGGAACCAGGAGAAGTTGGTGGGGCTGCTGGTGGCTTCCTGAGTCACGTTGCAGGTCAGGTTGGCCTCTGTGCCCTCCCGCAGTGTGTCTGATGGTGAGGCAACCAGGACTGTGGCTGAAAATCAGACAGCACAGGCTCATTCCCACCCCAGAAGCCAGTGGCCCAGCCCCCTCTGGGATACTCACAGAGGGGAGGGAGCAAATGCACTCACAGGGCAGACTGTGGGAAGGCACAGAGGAAGATGGGGGTGCTAGACAGAGGGGGTACAGTAAGGAGGAGGCCGAGACAGCCCAACTGGCCCAGCAGGAGCTGTCCTCAAAGGTCAGCTCTGCATCCCCAGGCCTTGCCCCTGCTCAAAAACCAAATGTGAGAAGGAGCAGCTTTGGGTTTCTACACTATGGACAGGGCAGTAGGCTCCTTGGGTCTCCACTCCTGCCCGGAGGGCAGCTGTGCCTCCTCCTACTGCTGGAAAGAGATGTTTTTGCCTGACTGGACCCTCCCTGGGGCAGAGGAAGAGTCCAGAGTTCCAGCCAGTTTGGCTATCTCAGCCTCCTCCTTACTGCACCCCCTCTGTCTAGCACCCCTATCTTCCTCTGGGCCTTTCCACAGTCTTCCCTGTGAGTTCATTGGCTCCAGCCCCCAAGCCACCCATTCCCCACCCTGAATCACCCTGGGCATTGAAGGTGGCTGAGGCAGAGGCATTGCCCAGGGTATTGCTGGCCTCACAGAGGTACACGCCCTCATCCTCCAGCACTGGGTCTTGAATCTCCACACGCAGCAAGTTGGGGGCTTTGGTGATCTTCATGCGTGGGACACAGCCTCCACAGGTGCTGCAGCCACCCCCCAGTGGCAGGGAAGTGGCCACAACACGGTCCTCATGGAGCAGCTGCAGCTGGGCTGGGGGGTCACTGTTCACATGGCACAAGAGGAGCCCTCGCCGCCCAGCAGCATCAGGGTCTAGCCGGGCGGTGAATGTGGGCTGGCGAGGGGGGTCTGTGGGGAAGAAGAGCACAGGGACTCATCCCACAGCCACTGCCAGGGCCCACAGGCAAGAAGACTCCCAGAACACTCCGGACAAGGTAGAGCTGTGCATTGCACAAGAACAGATGGGCCAGAGAGGGGAGAATTTAGCTAAGCTGTGCCCTAGTGCTGACTGAGTCTTCCCAGAGGAAGGAGCTCTAATTTCTAGCTGGGACAAAGGCGCTATATGGGCTGCTGCCTTTGTGCAGCAGTCCCCAAGGTCCTGCTCTTTGCTCCCACCCTGCTCCCATCAACATTGAGCCTCTCCAGATCCCTCCTGCCTCCAAGCCAGCTCCTGAGACACCAGAAAATACCTAAAATGGCTTCTTCCTAGAGGCTTCCAGAGACAGATGCCTGAAACAGAGCCATCTGCCAAAGATCCCCACGTGACCTCACTCAGACACCAGAAAACGTTGGGGAGGCAGCTGCCCTTCTGGCAGCTCCAGGATGTGGCTCCGGCACAACCACGTGTCAGGGGAGACCTTCTGGAATTACTCAGGCCCTCGGGCTAATGTGGAACATCCATCCTCAACAAGATGTGTCTACGGGAGCCCACGAGGGAGCAGCCTGTGGGTGGTGTGCACATACATAGGAGTATGGTGTCCCTGCGCCCACCAGAGGGCACAATTTAAACGTGGTGTCCAGGGTGGGTTTGAGGCAGGGGCAAAGAATCCCAAAGAGCTAGTATTGGCATGTGGGATGCCTGGAGGCGGAGAAGGCCCTAGCCTAGTTCCCAACTTCAGCCCTGAGTGGAGAGGCCCACAGTGGCCAGGCTTGTGACCACTCTCTTAAGGTAGACCCAGGGCAGGACAGGGTTGGGAGGGCCTGGAGGAGGTGGGAGTGGCTGATTGACCCCTATAGGCTGACCCTCCTCATAGCAGGCAGGGGCCACAAGGCTGCTTACAGAGCACAGTGAGGATGGCAGGTGATGAGGGGCCGCTGGTGCTGTGGCCATCGGAGGCCCGGCAGTGGTATGAGCCAGCATCAGTGCTGGAGGCTGCAGGGAGCAGGAGGCTGCTGCTGGGCCCCTCAAGAAGCAGGGCTCCATTCAGGTACCAGGAGAAGCGAGTGTCGGGCACAGGGCTCAGGCCACTCTTGCAGCTCAGTGTCACTGCTTGCCCCTCCTCCACCTCTGCTGCTGGGCTGATGAGGAGGCGGGCCACTGGTAGGGAGGAAGAGGTTGTGAGTACCCCCAGTTTCCCATGCCATCCAAGGCGGGAAGACCTCCAGGGTTCTTTCTGCCTGCATGACTGTAGGCAGGTCTTCCTCTGGCCTTCGGGCGGATCAAGAGGCCTTGAACATCAATTCAGATCTGTTGGCAGTAGCCATCTCCAGCCCATTTGAAAGGGATTCCGAACCAGATCCCAGGCTTATGTTGAAAGTCTGGCCTGATCTGTTGTCTGTGTCTCCCCCAGCCTCAGAAGGAGGGAAGGGCAATGCATGTATCCCAAGTTCAGTGACCCTACTGCTCTATTCTGCCTCCTGCCTCTGACTCCAGGCATAGAGCCTGCCCCAGCAGGTTCATAAATAAAAAATTAACAAATGCCTATGAAGGACCCTCCAAGTTTAGAGACAGACTATGTGCAAGAAGAATGATGCAAACTGCTTCGTTTCTCTTTTTGCCTTGACTCCCAGGAACCTCTGAGGTGTGGGTGACTGTGTAGCCCAGGTCTTTGATGTGAATGTGACCTAGCCAGCTAGTTCAGCCCTTTGGTTGAGTCCACTGGGCTTCTAGGAAGAAAGAGGCCAGAGCAGGCCTCCCCCTGGGGTTCCCTCCGTTCCTCCCTGTAACCTGTGCTCATCTCACCATTGGCATGGAAGTCCAGAGTGGAAGTGGCATTTCCAAGGGAGTTGGTGGCTGAGCACTTGTACTGTCCACTGTCAGCTGGCTCCAGGTCTCGGATCTCTAGGCGCAGGGAGTTGGGAGCAGAGAAGACCCTGAAGCGTGAGCTGTAATCATTTACCCCAGGGGTGGAGGCCAGGATAACGTCCCCCTGAGACAGCACCAGTGTGGCTTGGGGCTCGCTGACCACAGAGCAGTGAAGAATGCCCACAAGCCCTGTCTGTGTCTCCAGGAAGGCAGTCAGGTCCAGGCTGAGGGGTGGGTCTGTATGGAGGCAAGAGACAAGCCTGTCACCCACAGGCAGGGGCACTCCCTGGATATCTCATTATAGCCTATGACCTCCAGTGCCCCTTTGCCCCACAGTGCCCCGGGAGAGGGAGGCGATCCCAGAAGCTTCTGAGCACCAGCTAAATATACTTTTATCCCTGGCTGGGCTGGGCAAATCACTTTTGTCTCAGTCAAGCCTCCTTGTCACCCTGAAAATAGGGATTGAGGACCCTACTTTGAAGATAAGGAAACTTGGCTCAGCGCTAGGGTGCCAGCCACATACACCAGAGCTGGCAGGTTCAAATCCAGCCTGGACCTGCTAAACAACAATGACAACTACAACAACAAAATAGCCGGGCATTGTGGCGGGTGCCTGTAGTTCCAGCTACTCCAGAGGCTGAGGCAAGAGAATTGCCTAAGCCCAAGAGTTGAAGGTTGCTGTGAGCTGTGATGCCCCGGCACCCTACTGAGGGCAATAAAGTGAGACACTGTCTCTAAAAAAAAAAAAAAAAGAAAAAGAAAAGTAAGGATGGTTCAGCACCTGTAGCACAATGGTTATGGCTCCAGCCACATGCACTGGGTTCAACCCACATGTTGGTGGGTTCAAACCCGGCCCAGGTAACTAAATGACAATGACAACTGCAACAACAACAAAGAAAATAGCCAGGCATTGTGGTGGGCACCTGTAGTCCCAACTACTTGGGAGGCTGAGGCAAGAGAATCACTTAAGCCCAAGAGTTTGAAGTCATTGTGAGCTGTGACCTCATCACACTCTACAGAGAGTGACATAGCGAGACTTTGTCTCAAAAAAAAAAAAAAGAAAGAAAGAAAGAAAGAAAGACTGAGGAACTATCCCAGAGTAAAGGAGACTGAAGAGACATGACAATCGAATGCAACACATGATCCCGGATTAGATCCTGTACCAGAAAAAAATGGCCGTAAGAGACATTATGTGCACACGTTGGATCTCTTGGTAAAATGTGAATATTGACTGTGGATTGGATAATAGTCTATCCATGTTAAATTTCCTTGTTGTGATCATTGCACTGTGGTTATCTAAGAAAATGACCTTAGGACATATACCCTGAGTAGTTTAGGGGTATAGAGGCAGCATATTTGCAACTTCAGGAATGTAAAACTGTAGGTAAGTAGAGAAATAGTAGTAGATATGTGTATGGATAGAGAGAGTGGAGATGTGTGTGTTTACACAGGGAATAAAGATGTGTACACAGATGCACATGTGAGTACACGCATACATGCTTTTACATATATGCATATGTATACTTATCCTTGTGTATATGTGTGCGTATAAAAATATATATAGAGAGAATGAGAGTGAAAAAGAGAGAGAAGGATAAAGTAAATGTGTCAAAATGTTAACAAATGGGAAATCTGGGCATGGTGGCTCACACCTGTAATCCTAGCACTCTAGGAAATTAAGGCAGGAGCCTAGGAGTTTGAGGTTGCTGTGAGCTAGGCTGAGGCCATGGCACTCTAGCCTGGGCAAAACCCCCAAACAACAAAAACAAACGGGATGTGTAGGTTAGAGGTATATGATCATTAACTGGGCATGGTAGCACACGCCTATAGTCCCAGCTACTGGGGAAGCTGAGCAGGAGGATCACTTGGGGGCTGGAGTTTGAGGCTGTAGTGAGTTGATAGTTGCTCTGCACTCCAGCCCAGGCAAAAGAGTGAGACCTTGTCTCAGGGGGAAAAAAGGTATATAGTGCAACGATTACAACAAGGAAAAAGGGATATCATTCTTTGTACTACTTTTGCAATGTTTCATGAGTTTGAACTTACTTCCAAATAAAAGGGTTTTTTTTGCTTTGTTTTGTTTTGTTTAAGTAGGAGGAAACCAAGGCTAGGAAAGCCAAAGCCTTGCCCAGGTATGCAGAGCTGGGATGTGAGCTCAAGTTCATCTGGCTGCAGATTCCACATCCAGGTAAAGTGGCCTTGAAGCTCCCATGTCCCAACCTTCTGCAGGGGCTCCAGTGCTTGACCCTCTTCTCGCTGACATTCAAGACCACCCACCCTGGCCACTTACGTCTGACCACCACGCTGACAGGGCCTGAGCGCTCTCTGCCCTGGGCATTCTGCACCTCGCAGGCGTAGAAGCCTGTATCGGTCCTGGTGGCCGAGTGCAGCCGGAGGGTGTGGGAGTGGGCATCTTCCAGCAGGACCTGATTCTTGTACCAGCCGTAGCTGAGATTGCTGGGCGCCTCTTTGGGTGTGCTGCAGACCAGTGTTACTGTCTGGTTCTCCAGGATGGGGCCTGCTGGGCTCATCTGGACCTCGGCCACTGCCAGGGTAGAGTAGGACACACTGAGAGAAGACGATCCCAGCCAACTCTGAGTCCCCGCCCCCCACGGTCCTCGGGGTGTGGCACATTCTGCACTGCCCTGCCTCTGCAGCAGAGCCTCCTGGAGTCACCCTGCCTCTCTTTGCCTTGTTCTCTAGGATCCTCCTGACATCCCACCCTACAGGGAGGCACTGTCATCATCTCACACCCCTATGTCCCAGGAAGCACTGAGTTATGCCAGCTTCTGGCTCTGTCCTGGTCTGGCTCCCTCAGCCAGTGGTCTAGACCCCCTCCTTGCCCTCTAGCCAGGCCCAGCCTCCCAGGACTCACTGAAGATGTGGAGGCTGAGAGGAGGTGAGACTGAAGAACCCACACTATTTCCAGCTTGGCAGGCGTAGACGCCAGCATCACTCCAGGCTGCCTGGGACAACTGCAGCACGCGACTCGTGGCTTCAAGATGCACCCCGTCCTTGAGCCACTTAATGGAACTGACTCTGGGGTAGCTGCTGTTCACCTGGCAGGTGAGTGTGACCAGATCACCTGGGAGGATGTTCCTCCCTGAGGGGCTGAGGAGGATCTCCACACCCCTGGGAGCATCTGCAAGGCAGACGGGGGCATTGGATAAGGTATGTGGGGAGGGCAAGGATGGCACACTTCTCCCCTCCTCCCTTTCAAAGCTCTGCCTTAAGGAAGTGTACTCAGATAAAGCATCAGTCCCATTCTTCCCCCTGTCCAGGACAAGCTCTGTCCATCCCCTGTCCTACCCCAACCCCTGACACATTTCTGACTCCTTCCTTCTCCCCTGATAGCCTGATCCTGGGATGCTGGGCACAGCATCCAGTCTGCACTTTCCATTTCTCAGTGCTGTCCGTTGCCCTTGTTTAATTGGGGGCTGAATTCCACAGACTCATGAAAACCTCACTGCTGGGTTTACTGGCTATGGCAGCTATTGATAGGCATGGTGGCTCACGCCTATAATCCTAGCACTCTGGGAAGCTGAGGTGGGAAGATCTCTTGAGCTCAGGAGTTTAAGACCAGCCTGAGCAAGAGCGAGACCCCATCTTTACTAAAACTAGAAAAATTAGCTGGTTGGTGAGTGCCTAAAGTTCCAGCTACTTGAGAGGCTGAGGCAGGAGGATCCGCTTGAACCCAGGGGTTTGAGGTTGCTGTGAGCTAGGCTGAGGCCACAGCACTCTAGCCTGGGGCAACAGAGTGAGACTCTGTCTCAAAAAACAAACAAAAAAGAACCAGCCATGTAATGGGCAGGGGCCAAAGGCAGTATCACTTTAGCTCTGAGAATAGTTATCCAGTTTGTAAGGCAGGGGCCCAAAATACGAGAAATCTGCATTTCTTTAACTCTTGTTCCAAAGCTTCTCTCTGCATTTAAATAGCCTAGTGAAGGCTATTTTCAAGTGTTTAATATGTGCCAGGCACTCTTCTAACTACCTCACCTGGGTCATTTAATTTTCATCAAATTCTAGGAGATAAGAACTATTTATTGTTATCGCCACCATATAGATAAGAAAGCAGGCTCAGGGAGGCAAGCAACTTGCCCAAAGTTCATTCATCTTGTGGGCAGTGGAGCCAGCAGCCTGATGCCCATGAAGCGTGGTTGTTCTAGAACAGGCTGACCTGTTTTCCTAGGATGGGAAGATGCATAACCAATGGGAACCTGGACTTTCTGGTCCACACTGACTCTTAGCTATGCCCGAATGATACCTTGGTCACCATGATCATGAGCAGTCTCAAGGCAAGAAAGGGGTGAACTCCATCTCCCGAGCATGGGAGCTGGGCTGAATCCCAGGATACTTACTGCCAACCCAAAAGCTACAAGAGCTGGGCTGAATCCCAGGACGCTTACTGCCAAACCAAAAGCTACAAGGAAGCTCCTGTTCCCTGACCCTTTGTGTCTCTCCTTCTTCCTCATCCTGGCCTCAAGGACAAGCCCCTTCAAAGCCAGCAGGAGGTAGAAGGGGACTAGTAAACATGGCTCTTAGCACTTAGCACTCTTTCTCACCTGTCCTACCCTGGAGAATTGGGTGCAGCCCAGCTCTGCATCTGGGGCAAGGGCTCTGTCTCTCTGGGCTAGACAGGGCCTGGTTTCTGTCAGGGAGCCACTGATGTGCCCATTCGTAAGGATGTGGCCCCCTGTAACTCACACTGTACTTGGAGGCGAATCTCGCTCCGAGTCTTGTGGTCTGCCACTGAGAGCTGACAGTGCAGGGTCCGGTCGTGATCCTCCCAGGAGAGGGCCGTGTGAAGGGTCTCTACATGGATGATGCCAGTGGGCTCAAGCTTGTGGAGATTGGAGGTGACAGAGCGAGTGGGGTCCTGGCCTTGCCACTGCAGGCTGATCTGCTCTGGCAGACACGCATAGGGAGTGGAGCAGTTGAGGTCCACCTGTGTGCCCTCGAGGAGCTCTGCTGGGGCAGTGATGGTCGGTGCCCTGGGCTCCTCTGCGGACAAAGGCAGGAGAACTCAGGACTCCCTTCACCACACCTAAAAGCACCTGCTCCAGAAACCCCAGCTGAGGGAAAGGAGAAGTCACTGTCTGCCCTGAGCATCCCCTGGGCTGGACGCAGGGGAAAGAAGTCTCTGGGCTCTGCCGAGGCGGGACCTGAGTCTGATATTGGCTGGGGTTTAGGGCAGGGTCAGGGCTGTGAGCCTTGTCTTTCCCAGGCAGCAGCCAGGCCACCCCACTTCTCACCTGTTACAGTGACCGAGGTGCCTTTCGTATCTGACCAGCGGTTGCCCTCACTGATCTCAAAGCGGAAGTTGTAGGAGCCAGTGTCCTCAGCCCGCAGGTCCTTCAGCAGCAGGTTGCACACCTTGTGCTCCGGGAGCCCCACCAGCTGGGCACGGCCACGGAAGCGTGCCTCCACCTGCGTGGGGTCGCCCGTGTGGATCACAACCTGCCGCCTGCCTGAGTAGTCGTAGTACCAGATAGCTGTGATGCCATCAGGCACCTGCACGTCTGCAGGGAAGCTGAACACACAGGGGATGACCAGGCAAGACCCCTTCACGGCCTGCACTTCCCGGGGACTGGAGACACCCCACGAGGCCTGACCTGGGGGAAGGACAGAGCGGGGAGAGAGCAGAGTGATACAGGCCTGAGGGTATCATAGAACCCTAGGATCCGCTCCACGGAAGGTGCTGCCAGCACCCCAAAGCAGCCCTTAAAGCAGCCCTTCTCAGTGCCCCACGATGGCCTGTTTCCCCGGGGACTGGTCAGAGTTTGGCAAGTGGCTGCAAGAGGGACCTTGACCTCTTGCCCAGCTCCCTGCTGCTGCCTCCCGGGGCCCTACCTTGACAGCAGCGCAACCTGTGACCCAGACAGAGTCCAATTTGCCAAGGGCTAGACTTATGGAGACTGGACCCTCGAGATAGGTACTAGGCCTGTGAAGCTTACCTGGTGGGAAGAATGAGGCCAGTAGGAGGAGGTAGAGTAGGAAGCTCATGGCAGGTTCTTGAGCCAGTTCTGATGCCGAAGAGGGTGGTGTGCACTGGCCTGGCTGGGTACACAGAAGCCTCCTAAGGACACCTCTAGGCACTTCAGCCCCAGTGCCTTGTGGGAGTCCAGGCCTATGTCCCCACCTGCTATGGCTGGCCAATCCAGCAAGAGGGCAGAGCTTCTAAGGTCCTCTGTGCGGCAGCCACTGGCAGGTAGCCAGGAGCCCAGATTCCCACTGTGGGTTGTGCCAGGAATGCCCTCACTTGGTAGCATGCCCCAGAAAGCCCTCTCTATGTGTCCCTTGGCCCCACCCCTAGTTCTGCTTTCCCAGCCCCTCAAGGATCCTACCCCAGGGAAGATGAACAGCTGTGTCTCCCTCCTCCCTCACTTCCCTACCCCTCTCCACCACCCAAGCCAACAGGAACTGGAACCCAGAGAGCCTGGTTCTAAGGTACTCACTCTAAGGGACCCAGCTAGGATAATGGTTTCTTACTTGATACTTGTCTTCCTACCACCTGCTTTACCAGCTATGGGCCATAATGGGGCTTACCTGGACTTACCAAAGTTCTGCTTTTAAGAGTTATCCCTTGCTCATAAACCTTTCGTGGCTCCCTATTGCCCGTGAAAGGCTCTCATTTCCTGCCCCTGGCTCTGCCACCCTTCTTTGCTCCCCACAGACCCAGTCTGGGGCCAGTCCTGCCTGCCCATGGGCTCCCTGGCTACTCAGCCCTGTCACTACCACAGATAATCTTTGCCTATTGAAACATTGTTTAGCCTTCAAGTGCAACATGAATTTCACTTCCAGCTGGAATTTTCCCTTTAAGGTTCCTGTAGCCACCTCAGCATTATCTCTGTGCTTGCCTTGTCCTTAACAACTTGTGAGCACTCCTTTCTCAGGACCTGGAAATGAGTACAGGTGCCTCACAGCAAGGCAAAGCTCACCAAGCACTCACCAAACCCCTTGCTATGGTCTTTGGGGATTCAAAGTTAGGGCAGGAAGGTGGCGGGGCAAGTCTAGGCATGACAGGTAGCACCAGGGCCCTACAGAACACATATCCCACCAACATGAGCTAATATCTACTGTAGAGCATTCACAAAGTAGGCAGGCTTTCTGCCATGGAGTGGCCCTGGTGGGGCAGAGGGATCGAAGGGACATCACAGATCTGAGTCCAAAAGAAGCACATGTGCCTAAGACTATAAAGAAAGAAAACATAAGTGAAATCTTCACCACTTCGGATTGGGCATTCTTAAGTCTGACATCAAAAGCATGAGCAATAAAAGAAAAAATAGATGGACTTCATCAAAATTAAAAAATTTTATGGATCAAAGAACACTATCCAAAGAGCGAAAAAACAGACAATCAACAGAATGGGAGAAAATGTTTGCAGATCATAGATCTGATTAGGGATTAATATCCCGAAGGTATTAAGAATTCTTACAACTCAACAACTAAAAAACAACTCATCTGAAAAAAATGGGTAAAGAACTTGAACAGACATTTCTCCAAAGAAGATATACACATGGCCAATAAGCATGTAAGAAGGAGATGCACTATACGATTTGCCATTAGAGAAATGCAGATCAGGCCGGGCAAGGTGACTCATGCCTCTAATCCCAGGGAGACTAAGGCAGGAAGATTGCTTGAGGCCAGTAGTTTGAGACCTGCCTGGGCAACATAGCAAAACCTCATGTGTATAAAAACTGAAAACAAAAAATTAGCCAGGTGTGGTTTTTGCATCTGTAGGCCTAGCTACCTGAGCGGTTGGAGTCCAGGAGTAGGAGATTGCAATGAACTATGATTGTACCACTACACTCCAGCCTGGGCAACAGACTGAGACTTTGTCTCTAAATAAATAAACAAACAAACAACAGAAATGCAAAATCAAAACCACAATGAGGTACCATTTCACAGCCCCTAAAATGGATTTTTTTTTTTTTTTAAGACAGAGTCTCACGCTTTTGCCCTGGGTAGAGTGCCATGGTGTCATAGCTCACAGCAACTTCCAACTCTTGGGCTCAAGTGATCCTCTTGTCTCAGTTTTTCTATTTTAGTAGAGACATGGTCTTGCTTTTGCTCGGGCTGGTCTTGAACCCATGAACTGAAGCAATCCACCTGCCTTGGCCTCCCAGAGTGCTAGGATTACAGGCATGAGCCACTGCGCCCGGCCTCTAAGATGGCTTGTTAATGAACAACAAACTAAAACAAAAAATGACAAATCTTGGAGAGGATGTGGAGAAATCAGAACACTAGTTCATTGTTGGTGGAATATGAAATGGTGCACTTACTGTGCAGATGAGTTTGGCCATTCCTCAAAAAGTCAACACAGAATTACCAGATGATTCACCAACTCTACTCCTAGGTATATACTTGAAGTATTGAAAACAGAGACTCAGATATTATTTATTTATTTTTTTTGAGATGGAGCCTCAAGCTATCCCCCTGGGTAGAGTGCCATGGCTTTACAGCTCAGAGCAACCTCCAACTCCTGGGCTCAAGTGAGTCTCCTGCCTCCGCCTCCCAAGTAGCTGGGACTACAGGCGCCCGCCACAACGCCTGGCCATTTTTTGGTTGCAGCCATCATTGTTGTTTGGCGGCCTGGGCTGGGGATTCGAACCCGCCACCTTAGGTGTATGTGGCTGGCGCCTTAGCCGCTTGAGCCACAGGCGCCAAGCCGAGACTCAGATATTATTAATATATCAATGTTCATAACAGCATTATCCATAATAGCCAAAAAGTAGAAACAAGCCAAGTGTCTATCAATGGAAAAATGCATAAACAAAATGTGGTAGGCACATATAATGGAACATCAAGCAGCCGTAAGAAGGAATGAAATTCTGACACATGATATAACACAGTGATCCTTGAAAACATGCTGAGTGAAATCAGCCAGACACAAAAGGGTAAATATTGTATAATTCCACTTATAAGAAATATCCAGAATATGTACATTCATAGAGACAGAAGGTAGAATAGAGGGTATAGGGGCTAGGGGAAGGGAGATTGGGGAGTTAATGTTTAATGAAAAAGTTCTGAAAATAGACAGTGGTGATGGTTACACAATATTGTGAATATACTTAGTGCCACTGGATTTTATAAAGACAGTTAAAATATAAATTTTACATTTCACATATTTTACCCCCCCACACACACACGTGTCACCAATTTTGCAGTCCTCCCTGGTCCTAAAAGCTGACTTGGCAGAGTGAGGGGGCAGCCTGGAAGTGGGGACAGGAAACTCATGACATCTCCCAGCCCCCAGCCCATCTGCCTCAGTGGTTGAACCCAGCTAATCTGGTGGCTACTAGGGGCCAAGCAGACACCAAGGGCCTGGTGGGTCTGGAGTTGCCTGTCAGAGTGACCAAACAGGGTGTGGCCAAGTGCAGAAGGCAGAAGGGATGTCCTGGCAGGTAGCAGAGCCAAGGGCATGGCCAGGATAGGAAGAACGCAGCTCCTCAGGAGAAATATCCGTTTCACTGTGTTGTTCCAGCAACAAGGTCTGGTCATTTGGATTCTGTGGGTAGTCCTGGGCCTGCTTCTCTTCCAGGTCCTCAGTTATGGAGGACTGGCCAAAGTTGGGGCCACGGCCAAGGTACCTTACCTTGAGATAAAGCAGCTTGCTGGACACATATGGGGTTGGGTGTGGCCCTGGGACCCAGAACCACACAGGATTTCAGGGTCAGCTCCTCTACAGCTGGAGACAGCAGCAAGATACTCCCCAGATCCCCTGTTCTTCCCACTTGGGGCCTTGGAAAGGGCAATACTAAACCTAAAGGACAAATGGTGGAATTTTGGACATACTCATCCCAGAGTGGAGGGCATGGAAGGGCTGTTTCTAGAACCACCCCAAATCACATCATATAGATGTCACCTATCCCAGCCCTAACACCAAAGGAGTCAGTCCCACCAGAGTCCAGCTTATTGGCTCAGCCTATTCCACCCAAAGATGAGCCTCAGCCCAGAGAACTGTCCTGGAAAAACAAAGAACAGGGACAACCCCAGAAAGCGAGATCCTTGCCCTGCTTGGAAGCCTGGTGTTGAGGAGGTGCTGCCCCGGGCATGGGTTGGAGCTGGGTTGCCTAGGGAGCACCCAGCACCCGTGATGGTAGAGGGGTGATTCTAGATTCTGGGCTGGAGGATGGGGCTTTACTGGAGGACAGGGAGCTCTGCTCTGAAACAACCCCTCCCTTGAGCAATGACTCTTTTGGACAGCAAAATGTCCCCTAGACATGAAGTTTCATCCTGTGTCTTTACCCTTGGGCACTATGAAGACAGAGTTTTAAACTCCCTTCCTAGAATCGGTATGTGTTGCATGAGGGGGACAGGTTGGGTACCCCAGGAACAGAGTGGGTGCCCATGTTTGCTGCCTGTTTGAGACCAACTGTCCCAGGACATCTGGGGAGAGTGGACTGCAGCCCCTGACCTCTGATCCCAGAAGCCAAGTCTAGCTGGGGAAGAAAGGGCAGAGGCAGTGTCCCTGTCAGCAGCTATGTCTGGGTGCAGGATTCAGTTTCTGTTTCCTGGCCAGGGCTTCTCCCCAACTTCCCCATCAGAGTGGAAAAGGAGGGACACGGAGGGACACAGGGCAACACACCAGCTGGAGGGCTCTCACCCACAGATGGGGAGTCAGGGTATAGGCAGGCAATTCCAGAAGCAGATTATCTTTAAAACAGTGGAAAGCCCCAAGCACAGGCTAAGAGCCACAGCATCCATAAATAACGTCTGTTGGCTTTGACAGGGGCAGTGGAAATTTCACATTTCCTTTCTTATTCTGGCTTTAACTGCTCCTAGCCGGAGCCCCCACTGCCTAAGTTGTGCTGGACAGCACTGGGCCTCTCACGCAGACAGAGAGATGGAGACATAGTGAATGAAATGGCGTGGGATTGGGGTTGAAGCTGGGCTGGTGTCAGGGTAACAGTCAAGACTGGGAAGCAAATTAAGGCTGAGTTTGAGGTGGACATTGAGGTTGAGTGATGGGCTGGGGACAGGAGACGATGAGGAAGACAAGGTCAAGTTGGGCTGGGTTTGGGTGAGGGTTAGGACAATGGACCTGCTGGAACTGGATGAAGATCATGAGTTAATAATTAGGGTTGAAGGGCAAGTGAGCTGAGGGGAGGCAAAGTGGGGATAGGAACCAGGGCTGTGGCTGGTCCCTGCGGCCTGGTCAGGACTGGGATTGGGATGTAGGCTGAGATGATTTGGGGTGGTGGAAGGGTTCAGGTTATGAACCCTTGAGAAAGAGGAGATAACCCTTGAGGAGAGAAATAGGGCATCTTTTTCATAGAGCACAACTCGGGCTGGGTTGCTTTGGGGCCAGCCCTCACACCCAGGCACCCCCCAGCAAGTCTAAGCCAGCCCTACTCCCAGCGCCCTGGCACCCTCCAGGCCCCAGGGAGGGGATGTACCTGCTGGGCAGCAGGGAAGGCTGTTGGGCCTGCGGAGAGCAGAGCAGGAAGGAAGTCCCGGAGCTCTCAGTGCAGCTGCCTCCCGGGGATCTGCCGACTTAGAAGAGGAGGATCCAGTCTCCGGGGCTGCTTCTTCTTTTCCCAAAGCCTCAGCACTACTGTCCAGGCTGGAGGCTGGTCAGGGAGGCAGCTGCAGGCCTTGTGCAACACCAAGACAGGAAGGGAAGCGGCAGGGGAAGGCCCCTGGCAGGGCTCAGATTTAGGGACTTGAGCAAGCAAAAGTGGAATCCAGGAACACACTGGAACCTCCCTGGGTAAGGAGAGAAATAGGGCATCTTTTTCATTAGCCATGTCTGCGCCCCTCTCTCCCTGTGCCTCTTAGCCAAAGGCAAGAGGGAGCTTTCTGCACATAGTTCCACCCTGACAACTGTGAAGGAAATGAGGCCAGCCTGGGGTGGAGGTATGTTACAGAAACCCAGACTAAGACATTTATTTATTCTCCAGGCCCTTTGGGAGCCTCCCTGCACCCCTAGACACTCTAAGAATCTGCCAAGAAACAGGCCTCAGTTGTGGGGGACACTCCTCAGGCTGGTTCCTTTCCCTTCCCCATCTGTCCTATGCCTTCACCCCTACCCTGAGACAAAATGAGAAAGACCCCCTCCCCACGATTGAGTCACTGTAACAGTCCTGGACCCTATCTCACTGAGGGCCTACTATGTGCCAAGTACTTGACATATGGGGCAAATACCAGATGCAAGTGGACCACATTTTTATTATTTCTCAACCCAAATTTAATACAACTCGTGCTCTGTCCACCTGTATTCGTGGCGAGCCCAGCCACAGTAAATCAGGCCCCCACACCCTAGGGGCAAGCCCACGTGTGCAGATCTAAAAGGATGTGAAACCTTAAATCAGGGTGGATCCATGCTCCCAGGCCAGGGTGACCCAGAGCAGATGTCTGTTGACATTTTACCTCCAAATCTTTGGCCACAGAAAGGTTCCTCTTGTAGCCTCTGCACCCACTCCTTAGCTGGGGTTGTTTCCTTTTTTGACAAAGCACAGAGGGTTCGTTTGATTGCTTCCTCCTACAACAGTTGGTCCATAGAACCCCCAGCTCTAGATCTGTGGGAATGTGACATTGGTACCAATTCTCAGTCCACTCAGACTGTATACTTCTAACTCTCAGCTTCATGATGGGAAAGCATGTGCCCCGTGCCTTGACTTTCGCCTCAGCCTCATGGCTTACTCTGGTGAATGGATGTGAGTGGACGTAACATAAGCAAAGTCTTGAAATGTTCTTACCTGGCTGGCCTTTCTTCCTGCATTTCTGCCATTATAAAGAACATGCTCCAGCCAACCTGCTGGGCCAAAGAGGAAGACCAACACGTGAAACTGACCTGAACCAACCCTCTGACCTAGAACAAAGCCCAGCTAAGCCCAGCCTAAGTCAGCCAGACCTGAGCCAACTGTGGAGGTGTGAGTGTGTTGCTAGATGCCACTGAGGATTTTGTAGTTGCTTGTTAGCTATGTTAGCAAACTGGTGCAAGGCTTAAGTCTCAGAATGATAGACATAGAGTTGCTTACCTTTCCTTGGGTTAAGGAGAACAAAGACTTGTCTATCTTGATTTGTCAGGGAACATTACTTTTCATCTTTATTTTTTTAATTTCAGATTAATATGAGTGTACAAACAATTAGGTTACAATGTTTCACTTAGAAGTGTATCTCCCTCTTGCAAGTAAGTATTGGAATCAAAGGCTGATATGGCAACTCCACAGTTATGAAATTAGACTCTTATTCATTTGTTTGGCCATCTTCGATGGGTTATGTCCACTCATGGTCCAAGATGGCTGCTTGAGCTCCAACCATTTTATCCTCCAACCAGAAAGCAGGATGGAAGAAGGACAAAGCAGGTCATGCCACCTACTTTAAGGTAATTCCTTCGATCGCACACTGCATTTCTGCTTATATCGCACTAGGCAGAAGTTAGTCACATGGTCTTATGTCTTTATTCTAATAGGTGAAGTGGCCCATTACTAAGAAGTGGGGAGAGCTGAAGCCCTGCCCTCATATGGAGCAACCAGGACCCTAATTCAGTCATTCATTCCTTGGAACTATCAAGATTCCAGTCCCAGACCCTTGCAGAGCCTCCTATCTCCCCCAGAGGGAGCCAGAGCCCTCTGCTTCCTCACCCAGACACAGTTTTTACATCTGGGGTGTGGACGGCTCAGTCCATAGCGCCCCAAGGGAGATCTCTGAGATATGTGCTGTAGTCAGCTTTGGGGCAGATGGTAGTCCTGTAGATCAGTGGTTAAGAGCCTGGCCTCTGCATAGAGCTGGGTAGAAATCCAGACATAATCATTTATCTGCTATGTGATCACAGGGAAGTCGTTCAACTACTCTGAATCTGGAGTCCTCAGGAAAGCTTATGTGAAGAGCTTTCCCAGCCTGGAATGTCAGAAGAGCTCTGTGAATGTTGGCTCTGCTGTTGCTTCTCTTGCAAGTGGCCAAAGGCTATACCCCCTCCTTCCCCCATGCAAGGTGACCTCCACTCTCATGGCCACACCCTGGACCTCACCCATTCAGACACTCCCATGGCCTGTCATCTGTCCCTCTGGCTCCCCTCTCCAATATGCTCATGCATCTTGTACACACCCACTTCCATGCCTAAGTGTCTGAGGGCTCTGGGGTTCTCAGGAAGACCAAAGGGCCACCGTCCTCCCCAACACAGCCACAAAGTCATGTGGGATGACCCACTGAGGGAATGGCTTTGTGGCCAGAGGCTCCCAGAGAATATTAACAAGCCCAAAGAGGCCTGTTACAAGGAAAGAAAAAGGCCCATGTAGAGGTCCTCCCTTTTTCCTTCCCATTCCGGGTCTGGACATTTGGTGTGAATACTTGCAGGCCCCAAGGGACACCACCTATACAGAGCTGGATGAGTCAGGAGCACTTAGACCACCACGCCAACTTCCAGTTCAGGAAGGAGGGCTGAGGACATGTCTCTACCATCCCTGGCCATCCAATACCACAGAAAGCACAGTAAGGGAAAAAAGCGGGAAATAAATCCACAGAAGGGCCAGAAGCAGGATGACCGGGGTGGGGCTGGGGACACCAGATGTACAGGGATTCGGGTTTACTTCTAGAAGAGAGAAAGAAGGTGGATTTCACTGAGGGACGAATGGGTATAAAGGAACCCAGAGCCAAAGCACGCCTGAGAGAAAGCTGCCATCCCAAAAGGCTGCCGGGTGGCATAGGGGCCTCTCCACCCCAGCACGCGACACTCCAGGGCAGAGGAGTCACCCTACATGGATGCCAGTATCAAACAATTCTGCCCTTTGTTCATAAAGATGAATTGGCCCCCAGAAATTACCAGATGGTTGAAGAAAACCAACACAAAGAGAAGGATTGAAGAACAGATAGCAACAGCTCTTGAGTGCTTACCGTGGGCTAGCCATTGTTCTGGGACTTTTATACTTAATACTCACTTAACCCTCTGAGCGAGGTGCTGTGATCTCCACTGATGGGAAACTGAGTCACAGAAAGGTAAAGTAACTTGACTGAAGCTTATATAGCAGGTAAGGGGTAGAGAGAGAGAATCCAGGCAGCCTGTTTCCTGAGTTGGCATCTGTCTATTCAGCTACACTGCCTCTTTAGTACTCTAAAGAGAAGGTGAAAAGTTGGTCCCAGGGGAAATAAATAATTCAAGGAACAGAAGAGAATTTATTCAAAGACAGGTTCTAATACTATTATGTTCATAAAACAAAAAGAAGCAGCAGTGAAAAGAAAACAAAGAGGCTGGGCACAATGGTTCAGCACTCGGGGAGACCAAGGTGGTGGATCGCTTGGGCTCGGGAGTCTGAGACCAGCCTGAGCAAGAGTGAGACCCCCATCTCTGAAATTAAATAAACAAATTAATAAATAATAAATAAAATAAAAATAAAAACCAGGGAAAAGAAAGCAAAGGCTAATGCTTGGAAATGCAAAATAGAATTGTTGAAATAGAAAGAAATTCAATAGAAAGGAATGTGAACACCTATGGTTTTGGTTTCCAAAGTTACTTCACTCTTCTTTGGGGAAACAATGACCTGATGTCCCTGCTGTATTCTTGAGCCCTGTGGATTGGTGTGATTGACACTCCTCCATTCACTACACAAGAGGAATATGTTGCTGATCATAGCCCACTGTAAGGCGCCCAAGGATGAGGACAACACTGAGGGCAGGGCAAAGATGAATAGTGACTCTGGGTCCTGGATGACATCATTAAGTCCCTGTATCAAGCTGTACCTGAAGCTAAAGTGGTGAGTGGTTCTTTCTCTCAATAGCATTGATCAAATCTGATAGAAGGACTCCAGGTTGAGTGTAGCGGCTCGCGCCTATAATCTTAGCACTTGGGGGGCTGAGGCAGGAGGACAGCTTGAGGCCAGGTATTTGAGACCAGCCTGGGCAACATGGTGAGATCCCTATCTCTACAAAAATATCTTTTTTTGAGACAGAGTCTCACTTTGTCACCCTCAGTAGAGTGCCATGGCATCTTAGCTCATAGTAACCTCAAACTCTTGGGTTTAAGCAATCCCCTTGACTCAGTCTCCCAAGTAGCTGGGACTACAGGCACCTGCCACAATGCCTGGCTATTTTTTAGACATGGAGTCTTGCTCTTGCTCAGGCTGGTCTCGTACTTGTGAGCTCAAGCAATCTACCTGCCTCAGCCTCCCAAGCGCTGGGATTACAGGCACAAGCCACCGTGTCTAGTCTACAAAAATATATGTAATTTTTAAACCACTCAGGTGTGGTGGCGCACACCTGAGGAGGCTACAGTGAGCTGTGATCATGCCCCTGCACTCCAGCCAGGTTGACAGAGCATGACCCCATCTCAAGAAAAAAAAAAAATAAAAATAGAAGGGCTCCGATTATCCCTACCTAAATGTGTGTATCTAGCCAGTGTTTCTCAACCTTCCTAATACCACGATGTATTTTCATTGTTACAAAGGGGTCGCGACCCACAGTTTGAGAACTGCTGGTTGGATCTGCAGCTGAACCACTATCAAAGTAAACTGCCAGGCTTTGGTTACAAGCCTGCCAATGGCAGTGGGGGGGGGGGGA